CATATGCCTCCATCGAATGTCCAAACGCGCTCAGCAGCCGCCGAGAAATGATCGGATGTAACGGCGGGGACTTTCGTGACATGCAAAAACTCGCATAATGCTGCACGCTGATCGGCATCCCCGAGCATCCGGTCCAGTAGGTAATGAGCGCCTGCCAGCAACCCTGGGCTACTGGACAACCACAAAAGATGTGATCCAGAGTCTCTCTCTGCCCGTGACAGACCGAAAGTTTTCGACAGCAGTTATTTAGCTCCCGACCTGGGCTATATAAATTGAGCTGATGCAGCGCCATTCGGTAGTAAAACCACACTTGATACTCGGTGATCGCGTTGCGGTGGCGCCAAAACTCTCTCGGTGTCTGATTGAGGGCCGCACAGTATCTTTCGTTGCGTTCCGCCGATTGCTGTAACCGGAGGAGAACACCATTAAGCCCTTTCCCATAGTCCCCTTCAACTCGCTGGTAGGGTTGTCTTTTCAGATGACATAGCGCTTGGAGATTCGATAAAGCGTCAGGAACTACCCACGGAAAACCGTGGATGGCGGGATGTGCCGCTACGACGAGGCCATTGTCCCGTTGAGCTTGGTGGAGGACCTTTATATCCGACCAGCCGTCCGAGTAGGTTACCGACGTCTCGGCTATCGTCCAGTGGAAGCCGTCTGGCTGCCGATGCAGGACTATTGTCCCCTGTGTGAGACCCGTTGATAGGGTCGACACCCCGTGAACTGTCCCGTCATCCATCACGAACCAGCTATACGGCACCCTGAGCTCCGGCTGCTGCCGGAGGGTAACTGCACTCTGCACCTCGCATTTCTCAGCTATGCGTAACGTCGGGCTACCGAAAACAATCGCGAGCGCCCAGCGCATTAGTTTCCGATCCGAGTGATGAGCCGGCGCCCCTGGAGCCAAAGGGACTCTAAACGAGTACACTCCAGGTCCCGTCCGCTCGGTCTCCAAGTCGGCCAGCGCACATGACCGAATTCGGTCATATCTGCGCTGTGTCAGTTTGTTTCCGGTACCATCCCGTATCCAGGGGTTGTCCGCCCACTGGAAGGTTGGCCAAAAACGTCGTGTGACAAACCCGGCCCGTGGCTTGCAGAGGGGCTCGAGTCTAATGTAGTGAAATGGAGAATGAATATATTGAGGAGGAGTGTTAAACTTGGTAGGCTAGTCTGGTGTCATCATATCCAGTCTGGCGCAATCTTCTTTCGTCTGGCGCAATCTTCTTTCGTCTGGCGCAATCCAAGGATGGTCTCGCAGGTCATATCGATAGACAACCCATGTCATACTTGGTAGGCTAGTCTGGTGTCATCATATCCAGTCTGGCGCAATCTTCTTTCGTCTGGCGCAATCTTCTTTCGTCTGGCGCAATCCAAGGATGGTCTCGCAGGTCATATCGATAGACAACCCATGTCACGTGTTTCGGCTGGAAATGGACAGGGTGGCGGAGGCAACGGGGCATTCAACGAAATTGTCAGCCGATCCCCGTCTCGCCAGCCTAACGTCTGAGCGATGAGGAGTGGCATGTGTGTGGCATGATGGTCCATTAGGACCGAAAGATCTAAGGGTTGTGGGCGAAGCCATGTCCCTAACTCGACCCTTAAATCTGCCCATGGGATATGGTGTTTCGTGTGTTGGAAAAGCCCCGGGTCTCTCGGTGTAATGATCGGCTCACCGTGTGAGAGAGATCCCCGAAAATTCCCAATATTTCCAGGCCACTGCGTACCGATCGGACCGCTGTGTCAACCACAGAAGTGCATGTTTAATGCGTTGCGCTTTCACCGCCACTGGAATCGAGATTAATCCAATGCCGCCTGCTGCTCGCGGCGTGTATAATAGTCCCGGATTGACTTTGTGCCGACTTGTCTCCGTTGATAACGAGTGACGCCATAGAAATTGTTTTTGGAGACTACGGAGCTCTCGGTCCGCCCAAGCAGGCGTGTCAAACACTGCCGCAGTGAATAGTATTCCAGGCAACAAAATAACATTCAGAATCTGCGCCCGGAACGTCACACTGGTCGCCAGACGGGTCGCCGTAGCAAGCCGCCTCTGCACCGTTCGTATCCGGACAGCCCAATTGGCGTCTGCCAGATCACCAGTTCCGACTTGGTGCCCGAGGTATCGAGTCGTGGCACCCGATTGTAAAACAGGTATACCTTTATAGCTGGTAACTGACACCACCGTGTTCAAGAAGATCACTTGACTTTCGGATGGCTGTACTGTAAGACCTGACAACTTCCCAAAAGTAGCCACGAGGTCGAGCACTCGTGGAAGCTGTCGGGTTTCCTGGAGGAAGACCGTCGAATCATCCACAAACGCTGAAAAAACATGACGCTCTGATGACGACCCGGGCCCATGACTCCCGTAAGGCCGGGATCCTGTGTAATCGCTAGTGCCAAGACCTCCACCGCTAATACAAATAATAACAGCGCGAGAGGGAAGCCCTGACGAATTCCCGTGTTGAGCTCCATGGACTCAGATAATTGACCATTGACCAGAAATCGTGCCGTCGTGCTGTCATGAAGCTTGCGGATCATCGAAACGAAGGCCGGAGAGAACCCAAAGCGTTCCAGAACAAGAAATAGAAAATCGCGAGCGACCGTGTCGTACGCCTTTCGGAAATCTAATAAAAAAAATTACCCGGCTATTCTGCGCGGTGACATCTTGTTCATTCTGGGCAGTAGCTAAGACTGCCAACATCATCATCACTGTTTTCATCATGTGGCGATCATGGACGAATCCTTGCTGTGTATCGCCTATTGGTTTCGTCAGAACGCGTTGCATTCGTGTAGCCAAGACTTTTGCAAAGAGCTTGTACCCTGTTTGTAGCAACGAAATTGGCCGATAATCCATGGCATCGGCGGAGTCACCTTTCTTACGAAGTGGGATGATGAGTCCATCCAGAAATGAAGAGGGTGGGTCTTTACCTGCCAGAAGTTCGTTACCAATTGTTACCATGACCGGTGATAACAGAGCTTGGTTGTCAATATAGAAATCATTATTAAGACCATCCGGCCCCGCCGCTTTGTGTCTGCTAAGACCAGCAAAAGCCGCGATCATCTCAGGTAATTGAATTGGTTGGACAAGGTGATAATTGTCCAATTGTGTCATGTGTCGGTCCGCTGGTATCCGCAAAAAAGCCGTAAATGCGTGGTCTAGTGAGCTCGTTGGGATTGTGTTATGACTGCACTTAAGTATAGGCTGCCATTCCGTCGCAAAGCGGTAAGCAGTACAGGCTTGACGCGCAAATGGTACCCCGTGAAGATGTCGTAAGCCAGTTACCGTCTGGTCCGCCTCCCAGTCGGAGACCCGCTTAAAATTCCACCGCAGTCGATCAGTCGTTCGCTCCAGTCGATTCCCCGCCGCAATTAAATGTCCAGCTCGTAAAGAGTCCTGATTGGCTTGGATAAGCTGCTTTCTGAAACAGAGTCCGGCACGTGCTTGAGCTTGTAATCGGTTAGCATACCGTGTACTACGCTGTTTATGTTGCTTCCGGATGGTCCGAATCGCCGCGACGCACGTGGTGATCATATGGTCCCAGGTACTCGCTGTGACTGACCGCCCCACTTCGTTATTGATCATCTCCGCCAATAAATCCGCCTTGACTCTCGTCGCTTGGGAAGATCTAATGGGGTAAGTGACCACGTGCCTCTTGTTAGTGATCGGAATATTCCACATACTCTGCGTTAGTAGGAGCGAAACCTGCTGATGATCGGAGTCGACAGGAGGAGCTGAAACCACAACCCATTGCACCCTCGATGTCCACTGGTGCGGAACGTAAAACCTGTCAATTCTGCTTGCTGTGGATTGAGTCCAGTAAGTAAAATATTCGGTTGGGTCGGGAGTATCCACATCGTCGAGTGGTGTTGCTAGAATGCGCGCATCGGTGAGTCCCAACCTGGTGATGAGGTCAGCAAGCGCTGCACTTTCCGGGCTCCCCGACCTGCGACCCCCGAGCCGATCCAATACTGGACTTTGAACAGAGTTGAAGTCGCCCGCCAGGACTACTGCGCATGACGGCCATGGCCAGTGCAGCAGCCGGGAGAAAAATTCTTCGCGCTCGTGGGGGGTATTAGGGGCATAAATGTTAACTAACAAGACCCCCGCTAGCATCAAACCTGCAGCGCGTTCCGTCCATAGTTCTGGGTGCCAAGGAGTTGCATCTGAATCACGGCTAGGATCCAGTAAAAAAGCCACCCCTCCGCTTTTTCCATTCCCGACACTCCAGTAAGATAGAGGGGACCCGTCAAAACGTGAAGTGTACCCCCACCGCCGCCCCCAATCATATCGAAGCTTATCCGCTAATTCCACGCTGTCGACATGTGTTTCTTGCAAACAGCGCACGATGGGTCTATTGTTGGTAGGACCTCTTTGCCATGCCTCCATCCACCGATCACGAGTCGTTTCCTTGAAATCGCGGACATTTTGTGTGTCGACACACACCACCCGCTTACTTTGACAAATGACATCATGGGTGACCGTTTGGACCATAAAACCGCCTTTGAGGCGATAGTGTGTGCCATAGACATCAACGTCCGCCGGGGCACTAGCTAGCCGTAGATGCCGGCGAGCTCGGCGTTGACGGTGGTGTATGCCCTTAGTAGTGAAGAGTCCGCTGAGGACTCATCTGGGCGAGCGCTTGCTCAGAAAACGTCTCTAATATCGACCAGTCCGCAGAGGCGATCATGGCTGCGTATGCCTCCCGATACGGTTTATTAATCTTCAGCCCGGCAAAATGCCGTCGCAACCGCGTCTTAACGCCGTTATCAGGCTCCTCGTCGCTGCCCGTTAGTGCTCTAATTTCGTCGTGATAGATCAGCACACATAAAATGTGACGCGCTAACTGCGTCTTGTGATGCACATCGCAACGGCGTAATAATTCATCGCTGGTACAGCCCCTGTCACGTAAACGGCGCCAGTCATCACTATTGTCAATTAAAGGAGACAGCATGGAACCCGCTAAGCGCCGTGACGTCCGCCCCTTCCAATCGTCAAGCCAGATCTAAGTATCTTTATCTGTTGTACGGCTTCGGTAAGCCATTATACAGGAGTACATACACTCTTGTCGCCAGGTCGCGGTCCATGTCTGTACGGTTTCATCACTCAAGATCGTCGATAATGCACTTTTATGCGGAAATCGTTGAATCATCCGGAGAAGGAGTCTCGATTCCACTTTCGCCGCTTGAACCCACTGCGCAGGCGAACTGTAAACTATGGGAAAAACGACCTTCGACTGTTTTGGCCATTCCGACGCTAAATCTAGCCACATTTCCTGCCACTTCTTGCTGCTCTCGAGTTGCAATACCTTGGCCGGACCTGCTTCGAGGAGCAGCCTGTCGTTGGTGCTGCTGCCTTTTTTTATTACTAGAGCAGTGGGTTTGTTTCGAATAATCACAGCCTTCTTTTTGCGTTCATCTGGTGCCAAGACGTGAGTCCTCGTTGCAGGCGCGCTCGATTGAAATGCTCGTGGAGATACCCGCAACGACAGAGCTGTGGAACTCCCGATAACGCCCCTTCCAGCCGCCGGGTCAGCGCTGGTTGAGGTGCGTGGTACATGAATCTGCTGAAGTGGTGAAGGCGGGGCGGAAATCGCGGCTTGAACGGTATCATTCCGCTCTAAATCTTCATATTGGTCGGTCGCCTCGATCGGCTCCGCTGCTTCCTTCATTTCCTCATCACTATCACTTACGATATCACTCATGTCTTCACCGGAGGAATTACCACGGTCGACGTTGCGCTCATCCCCCCGTAGCCTTGTCCAAAGTCGGCAGCCGGTGGACAAAGGCAGAGTAGTGGTCATCCTCGTACTTAAGGATCAACGGTGGTGGGCTTGACCTATCACCTTTGACTGCCCTTATCTTCTCAACACACTCTTGAACGGTGAAAATAATTTGCTCTCCCGTTTCAATAACCCGACGGGCCTTGGTCATTGAACTAGGCCGATATAACCCACAGTGCCAACACTGCAACCCGTCAGTCGCTTGACAAAAAACATAGATTGTTTGTTGAAGGAAGTTCGCTGCCATAGTCAGCGTCTCACAGCCTTTCCAATAGTGTCGGTCCAACATTGTAGTCGGGTCAGTGAGACTGGACGCGTATTCTTCGAGGTACCATTTAAACTGTTAAATAGCTTCACTCCTCGGCATATCCATCCAGCCTCTGGCAACGTTCACCAAAGTGGTCACTCGGGCTTGGTGGCTAAATTGATCCATCATGTGCATCTGTCCCGTGTATTTAATGCCTCTTTTTAAGCTAGATGTAGCGGAGAGGAGGATCTTATCTCGGTGGCGCAAATCGTTGTTAGCGAGCGCCTGGACCAATGCCATGGCCAAACAATTCCCGTTCGCCGGAGTCTGAACAGGCAGACTATTCAGCTGCTGTTGGATAATATCGTACGACCCGGACCCCAGATCTACGCCATCCGGCAGCCGCGGCTATACACGAGATCCACAGTAACCCTCCACTTAAGCGATATTCCTGAGAAGCTCGGTCCGTTCCTTCTGTTTTAGCGCCACTAATGGAGGCGTCAGCGAAAGCTTCGGTGGTGTTTTCTTTATCAGCCGAAGCTGGACCGTAGAATCCGTATCCTTGTCAGAGTGTCGTACGGCCGCGTGCGCTCCTGCACCGCTCGTATCAGGCTCTTCGAGAGCAGAAAAAGGTGCAGAAACAACCGCCTCGTCCTCTTCGACGTCGACCTCATGTTGGTCGGCCAGTACGGCATACCGCGATGACAAAAATGCACGCCGGCTAGATAATGTCTTCGTAGCACTTGATGCCTTCCGTCCCTGAGGAATAGAGACTGTCACCCATTATGGCCTAGGCTTAGGTTTGGGCTGCGCAAGTGGTGTTTGTCCAGACTGGTCAGGAGGGGCGGTTGAACGACCACCAATTCCGGACGCCGCCACGATACGACCATCACGACCGTCGGAGTTGACGCAGTCCACGGCAAGCGTGAGCACCATAACAGAAGGGGGCTGGACTGCCTGTGCAGAGACCGTATCTGCTTGGTCTTGAAGGCGTATACGCTGGGCCGCGATGTCGCACATCTCGGCAAAGCTACGGAAAGGAACAGCCAGATCCTCCAGCTGCGACACCTCTTCCTCGGAAGCCAAAATACTGCCGGGGCCACGCAGCTGCTCCGTCGAAAATCCACACCTTGCCATAGTATGGCCTATGTTCCCGAACCGTAAACATTGCAGCCTCTTCCCCACTTCGGGGTGTTTGAGAACAATTACTGTACCAAACCATAGCAGGCGCACCACATCACGTAGAAAATTGGGGCAGCCTGCTAATTGGATCGTCAGTCGCCACACCGTTGATGTCCTAGAGTCCGGTGTGCACGTGTCCAAAGGTTCCAGATCAAATTCAGGACTAATGTGGGCCGTCAAGAATGCTGTAAAGCGTCCAATGTCCATGTAGCGCGTAACATTGTAGAGTCGAATAACATGCTCAGTCTGCATCGTGAGGCGAGTGCCATCGGCTCCGACTTGGCGATCCCACACTGAACCAGAAGTAGGTGCGTGCCGATTGTGGAGGCGGTAGATTTTCCGACGGAACGGCACGAGTGTGTTCTGAAATTTTGCCGCCGTAGCTCGCTGAAAAAAGTGAATGTTAATCGACTTCTGAACCGTGTTGTACCCGATTGTCTTCGCCTGACTGAGCATGGTGTGCAGTGCCTGTAGATTCACCTTCAACCCTTCGGCCGCCAGCAGTATGTCTTCCTTCAGTGCCTGGGTATGCTGTCGACTGGATGGAATTGCTCCTTGCCCAGCCAATGAGAATGATAGCTCTACTTCGACTTGCAGCTGAATGGTCGACTGGAGTCGCAATCGATCTTTCGCATTTAACACTTTCTTGATAAAGTGTGGGCATGAGCGGCTCACAATGTGACCCCCCGCCAGTCCCTGAATGATTTCCCACTCTTCATCCGTACCATCCCGAAGCCGGGTACCCGTGGAGCGCGTGTCCTGCGCTTCACACAGTGAACGGAGCCGAGCAACAATAGCCGCAGCATACTTTTACGGATTGAACATATACTGCTGGTAATGTTCTCGAGCAGGGAGAGTAAGCTAGCTTTCTTTGGGGGATGATGTGTCCGAAGCTGTGAGAGCACTATCGCAATATTTTCGACGATATGCAGCTGGGCGTAGCCAGACACCTTCGAGTAACGTGGACCATGCACAAGCCCTCATTATTCAGCTGTATTGTTTGTGATGTCGGCAGCGCTGTACACCAAGCTCAAACCCCACAGAGCTCCAGCGGCGTGCGTCACAATGTTGAGTTGGACAATAATGGACCAGATCCGCCTGGTCCTGGGCTTCCTAAAGATCCACCGTCGAAGAATAGAAGAGGTACCATCCCCAGGCACCAAAGAATGGGCAACACTTTCATCACCAGTGGTTCTTGACGCAGAAGAGCGTGGCAGCCGAAGCTGACCTCACTCGCTCGAACAGATCTCCGTCTCTTTTCATGTCCAGCTGGTATATAGACCCTCCAAATCGGGTCATACCACGTGGAAATTGTGTCTTGGCTCTGGCGATGTGTGTCTCCTCCGGCAAGGACAACACTTCCAGATTTACGCTTAAGTACGCAAACAAACAGCGTGGCACAAGGAAGGGTGCCAACACCTAATGAGCCCTGCAGCAGACAGAGGGATGCGGGTCGGGTCCTTACTCCCGATCGGGACGTCCGGTACGCGCGTGCACTGGGCACAGGTGCCGGGTCATCTCGTAGAACGTGAATCAGTCGCCCGTGTCGGGGACGGCGCACCCGTGCGAACCGAGACCACAAGCGAGCCAATCCCGTACTTAAGGGTGCGGCTGGTCGATGTTCGTACGCGGCTGCGGTGACCGGCCCCGGCGTACCTTATTGTTACGTCGAGGGTGTCCACTATCCAAGCACTGTCGGTGGCATCTCCGAGCATTACGACGATAGAGCCGGCGAATGCTTGCCGACCTCATGAGTTCCTAGCTGTGAAGTCCACTGCTTACTGAGGAAAAGCGTACCTAGCGATGACGGCCAAACTTTGCTGAGCAATGGCGCACCTAATGGCGCTGTCGAATGCTTTACGGCACGATGCGCTCCTATGATTGACTTCGACTATTTGCCTGGCGGGCATCTGTCTTGCGTCGACGAGCTCATGGAGCCCGCACGTGGACTTACACCCAATTCAGGTGGAAGTGCCACATCTGGTAGGGGTATCGAATCCTTTCACGATCGCAGTGGTGTGTTGGTTCGTACAGCCACGAGGGCGTGGAAAGAAAAAGCGGAAAACGATCTGCTTCCGATGATACCACTGGAAGAAGACGCGCTGGAAGCCTGGATGATGAGTGGTCTCGTTTTTTTTGTTGCCGCCAGGGTTCTTGGTGTACGCATCCGCGTGCTATACGAATTGTGATGCTTGACTTCTTCGAAGCATACTTGGAAGGGAAAATTATTGCGATTGTACCTCCGTATCTACGAATGCCCAAGTACATCGCTGAGAAGACCCGGCTTCTCCAACTTTTGAGCGCAGTGAGGGGGAACCAGATCCGGATGTCTTCAGTCGGGAACTGGTCAAGGGGCCAAGCGGACTAGTTACGACGCCGGTACGAGACAAGTGACTTTCATTCTTCCCGATCAAGCGGCTGCTACGAGTTGGCATGAAAATTTAGTTTGTCTCGTAGGAAGCTCCTTCAACTTTTGTGTCCCGCTATTCTGGATCACGACGACATTACTGCTTCCTCAATACCGGCAACAACAACTGGTCGTAACATGTTACATAATCAAATTCGGGTTCTCATCAATGGAGTGGCGGCGAGCACAGTTCTAGCCATTTTGGAGTCCAGTGTGTCCTGTGAGGTAACTTCAGTGAGTCGTGGGTGCTCGCACGGCTCGGACGCGTACGGTTCCATTTTTTCGTGGCGACTTTCGACACGGCGCATGTCCCGAACAACTCAAGCTGGTTACGCATATCGCGACTTTTAACACGGAGCTCTTCCTCCACCGTTTTCGGCACTTTCAACGGGTCCCCTGTTTTACATGCTAGTCGCCTTATCACTCGAGTACCAAGTGCGGTGGTCGCAAGGGCAGCTATCAGGCTGAGCACCACCGCGTTTTTTTTTCGGTATACCACTGCGCATCAGCCCGTTAGCAGGTTTACTCTCGCTCACCATCGCAGAGAGATTGCGACACGTTACTGGGTTGGCTGAAACTTCGGCGGCAATGACGGAGCAGTTGAAGGTAGAGGGATACAAGAACTCCCTGTTGACCAAGGTTTCGCAGGTTCCCCACCAGCCCAGGAAACCAAGAGATAGCTCAGCACTTACCCCACCTGCTGGTAGAAAGACACCAGGTGCTACTGCTACTCGCACCTCTAGTCCGTCAATCGATGACTGGTTTGATCCGGGTGAACGAAAGAAAAAGCGGTACCCTATGGGAGCCTTCTCCAGGCCCTGCTGTGTCGTCGGTTCGTCACCCACCGTCGACTGCTGCTACCGGGACAATCAAGTCTGTTTAAGCGGTCTCGGCACTTCCCACCAAGCACAGCACACCGAACATGGATAAGTCCGACAAAAGATCATTACACCCGAACAAGGCAACGGTTCGTACGAAGGGCAAACCGGCTGCGGTGCAACCGCGAGGGCGGTTTATGAACTAGCGACCCTGTTGGGGGAGGCAAACCGGTTGTCGCGGCATCTACAACAACAACCACGGCTGCCAATTCGTCTTTGTCTTCGAACTCCTCAAAAGGTAGGGCTCTTAAAGGCGGCTCGGTCAAGGGTAGAGGACACCCAAAGCGCGGTCGAGGAACTTGCTTCGACAGCTGCGGAGACGAAGCGCGATGCCGACACCAAACGTGCCTGCTACTTCGAGGCTCATACTCATGCACATGAAGATTCCATTGCTCGCAATACAGCGTCTCGTGAGAAACTAACTTCGATCGCCGAAAAAATTTCTGAATCACTAAAGATGGAATACGATTATCGGATCGCCGGTGCAGCGGCGACACGCGCTATGGCGGAAGCAAATAAAACATTGTCACGACGATTGGCAAAAAATACACCGAACCGGACGTCTGCGAGCGATCTTAAGGTTCCGCATGTTGCGACTTCCCCTCACGAATTGCCTACTGCGATGGCGGAAAGACTAGGAAGAAGAGTCGCGCGACCATTGAGCGCTTGTTGTCGTCTTATGTTCGCCTCAGGCATGGCTTGCCGAGTGCCACCACTGCGACCCCTCCACGAACGGGGCCCGCTAGAGCGGAGCCTCCCACTTCTGTCCCGGCTGGAATGCATTCTGCTTGCCCTCAGGATTCTGACAAGCAACACGCTTGGGCTCGCGATGTTACTATGGCCGAAAGAACGGCCACTTTTGGAAGCACCATGCACATGGCTGATCTGGCCGGAGGAGCGGTAACTCCACCATCCTGTGCCGCCAGTGTTCCCATTCCGGCGGAGGTAGCTAAGGAGATTGAAGACGAGCTCATGGCATCTTCCGGACAACACGAAGTCCCAGTACAAGTTCCTTTTTCGCTACCGTCGCATAAATCCCATGCCGGGCAGACCAGATAAACCCAGATCGTGGTACAAAGTCCGATGGATCACTTCCACAACCCGCATACTCACGTTCAGACATTACGTGCAATTCGAGTGCGCAAGGTCCCGGACACTGCGTCTGCTGCAGTCGCAGCTACCGCCGTCCCGGATAGTACGAAACAAATTGCTGCAATTACAACTGTGATTCGGGCATGAGTCATCTAGCATAAAGTACGGGCTGCCCTACCGACTACTATGCCTGATCCAAAGGGACAAACTGCGTGGGTCAACTCGTGCGTGCTGGACCTGGCAGCAATGGTCAATGGTCTCCCGTACCCGGTTGCTTACCTAGCATCTATGACGGGAAAAACTTTGCGAGCTTTTGGACATGCAATAAACAGCGAAACTTAACTGGCGGTAATTCGTCAACACACATCACAAGCAGATGCAAAACTTCGAGAGCCGTGCACAGGGTGGGCCGCGACGGCTGATGGGCAAACTGGACAAATTTGATGAAAAGCGACTGACAATATCCAACGATGGCGACGCTTCGGCAAACTACAGCCATAGTTATTGAGTCCTACGGTCGTCCAACCGCTTGACGACTTGGATCATTGGGGGAGTTCTTAATGTCCTGTGTACGCTACTCCCTAAGCTTGCACCTGTTGAGGAGTAGACGAACGTGGTGATGCCGCAGACAAAGGCTGCACTATACCACCTCTCAAGCGATGTGCGCGCGGCCGTCTCCAGTATTACATGCAAACCTGCCAACTGGCAACCAGCGGTTGACCTTATCACCCGCGATGGTCAGCTGCAGTACCCTCAGCACTGAGGGCATCTCGGATGCGGTCGAGGACGACTCGTCAATGAGTGTGGTTTCATGTCTTTCCTCTCATGATCCTTCAGAGCGAAGTCGTCCGATCGACAATATTAGGTATACTCCAGCTCAACGTCACACTGACGGACTACATCGACGTCTTCGTCTCCTTTTGCTTAAGACATTCCGGCGTCCGCACGAGAACAGCATCGGTCTCCATTCACAGAACGTCGCAGGATTTTCCAAGCTCCCAGAACGATGCACAGAATTGTTAAGTCACTTTAGATAGCGTGAAACACGTGGGACCCTTGACCTAATCCTTCTACAAGAA